GCCATGAAGGCCCAGCATAAGAAAGAAATGGAAAAAATAAACGCCCAACATAGGAAAGAAATGGAATCCATAAAACAGATTCAAACAGATATCCAGGAGATTAAACACTCCACAGAAAGTGTATGCAACAGAATAAAAGAATGCGAAGATAGACTCTCAGATATAGAAGATAAGATTGCAGTCAGTGACCATGAAAAGAGAGGTCTCTTAAAAACAGTAAGGGATCATGAGAAATCAATCCAACAACTCCTAGATGATGCAAAGAAGAATAACATAAGACTGATAGGAATACATGAAGTAGCAGGAGAAAATACAAATGACTTAAAAAAGCTGTTCGCAGAATTAATGACAGAAAACTTCCCAAACAGAGGGGAAGAATTTGACATTCAGATAACTGAGGCATATAGGACCCCAACTAGCTACAATAAAAAAAAATCTACACCTAGACATATAATAATCAAGATCCCAGAAACCCAACAGAAGAACTAAATACTACAAGCAGTAAGAGAAAAGAAACAAATAACATACAAAGGAAAGCCCATCAGAATCAAAGCAGACTTTTCAACACAAACCCTTGGGGCAAGGAGAGCCTGGAATGAGATATTTCAAGTACTAAAAGAGAACAACCTCCAACCTAGACTGATGTATCCTGCAAAACTCTCTTTCAAAATGGATGGGGAAATAAGACACTTCCATGACAAAGAATACCTGAGAAACTACATGAATCCCAAACCAGCACTACAAGCAATTCTAAACAATATCCTAGAAAAAGACAATGAAGGCAACAACACCATGAGGCCCAACAGAGCAAATCAAATAGGCAAGGCAAGAAATTAAAAGGAGAAGGTGAAAAAGTAAAAAGAGTCAACAAAAGGCCAATAACATGTCAATAATAAGTCAGTACATATCAGTTATAACCAGCAATGTCAATGGCCTCAACTCACCAATCAAGAGAAATAGACTGGCAAAATGGAATAAGAAGCAAAATCCAACAATATGTTGCATACATAGTGCAAAAAGAAGCCCATAGACTGAAAGTGAAAAGTGAAAAGATAGAAAACAATTCTCCATGTGACAGGAGCCCAGAAAAAAACAGGGGTAGCAATCTTATTTGCAGACAAAATAAATTTCAAACCAAAACTGAATCTAGTATTATTGATATATGACGATACTGTATCATACCTCTATGAATGTAAAATAACTTGTACCTGCTTTATGATATATAGTAGGGACCATGCTTTATCAGAGCTACATTTAATGATATTACCTAGAATGTTCTCTTTCCAGATGATGATTAAAATGCTAATAAAAAAAATGGTGCCAGGTACCACAACAGCAACAGAACTTTGCTGGCGTCTGGATATTATTCTTTTCTTTGTTTTTTTGTTTTGTTTTGTTTTGTTTTAATGGAATGTGCTGAATGTCTATAATTTTGTTCAAATGACTGCAGAACCTGGAAAAACTGTTGCTGCTATTGATGCATAACATACTGCTATTATTAGTCTTTTTATATAAATATAAATATATATATATATACATATATATATAAATTGAATTTTGGGAAATTTTAACAGTGCTGCCAACTTTGGAAAAAGTCATCCCAATTTACTGTGTTGAGTTGGCATTGTACAGAAATGGACAGCCATATTGGTCTAGAAATGTTAATTTTTTTATTTTTAATTTTTTTTCCATGTGTACAGGGGTAGCACATTGTACTAAATATGTAAGGTCATATCTACGTGGGTTTGATTACAGAAACTAATAAAGTATTCTCTAAATAATGAAAAAAAGAATAAGATAAGAGTATAAGAGCAAGAAGCAATTTAAATATGTTCAGGGACCATTTTCATCTCCAGAATTAAGGGTTATTTTAATGTTACATCATTGCCTTTTCTCTTTTACTTTCCTTTTTAGTTTTATTTTAGGATTCCCTATTTTTAATGTTCATACAGAGATTTCTTTAATTGAAATACCAAATAGTTTCTTTGGTGTGAAAAACTATAATAGTACACAGGATCCTAATGAGATAATTAATAATGTGAAATAGGAAGTAAAGGGCTAAAGGTGTAGGGAAAGTGGAAAGGGTGGGGGAAAGGTAATAAGGGAGAGGAAAAAAATATGAGAAACTGAAAAAATGGAAATAAAGTGTTTGTAAATGGGGAGGGGAGGAGGGGGTGAAGGAAGGGCAGGGACAAGGGGAAAAAATGAGAATCGAGACCTATTATGTAAAGGTACAGAATCCCAATGATGAATGAAACTGTATTGTATACCTAGATTGTACCAATAAACTTAATAAAAAGAAAAAATAAATAAATAAAAAGGATGAGGGATACAGCTCAGGGGTAGAACACTGGCCTAGCACGCATGAGGCCCTGCGTTCAATCTCTAGTACTAAAAGATAGAAAGGAAATAGAAAAGAAAAAGAACAAACCCAGGTGTGCAAGCAACTGTCAACATGGCTGGCTGCATTTGTGCTTTAACCTCACACTCAACCTTTGCTGCTCAAGCTGCTAGAGCTAGAGGAGGGAGAGATGCTGGGAGGAACGAGGAGGAGGAGGAGGAGGAGGAGGAGGAGAACAATAACCACAGTGACTGGGCTTGGGCCCTGGCAGTGCTCCTCACACCTCCCTCTAGATCCTAGGGACACACACCCCTCTTCCCGTTCACAGCCCCTTTCCTCCCTAGGACAACACCATACTATTTCAGCGGCCCAATGCTTCGGCCAAAGGGACTCTGTGACAGCGTGCCTCCCTCCGGAGTCTTTCCCAGGGCTCTCTCTGACCACATAAATCCTCATCCTAATGGGGACACCTATGAGGGTGACCGAAGTGCCACGAATCACTAGGTCAGGACCAGAGTCGTAACCCGGATTGTCCTGGCAATCTGGCACCAGGGTCACCCTCCGGGGAAGGGTCAGGGCCTGCCAGCCTGTCCTTCCACCCACTTAGTACTCCAACCTCGAGCCACACTGCCATTCTTTCCAACAGCTTAAACACATCTTTCAACAACACCTCTTGCCTTTGCCAGGGCTGTCACTGGGAACACCCTGCACCCCCTGTTCTCCTCCTTATTACCACCTGCCCCTCTTTGGTCACTTGCTGAATGGAAAGATAGATTTGCCAATGGGCAAGTGAGCCCCCACCCCAATGCAAGCAGTATGATCTGGGAGAAGTACCTTGAGCACTCTGAGCTGTAGGCTGGTCTCCAGAATGGGAGACCGGTACCTGTCTCACTGGAATGTGCCAGGGGTTAAATGGAGCATGAGAAACGCCTGGCACACAGCAGGTGCTCAGCTAGAGCTGCTGGCATGAAGAGCAGTGAGCAGCACTCATGTGGCACCAGGGTTTACCACGCTGGTGTGTTACTGGTGAGCTGGCGCCTCGGGCTCTTCTTGCTGCTCCCTGGCTGCCGAGTCCTGGGAGGCAGGGACCCTGTGTGAAGACTCACCATGCCTCACTGTGGCCCCACAGGCCCACCCACTGCAGGGACTCTAGAGGGGCAGAAAGGAGACCCATGACACACTCTACCCTTCTCAAAGGCTGTGGCTTAGAAACTTCTCAAAGGCTGGCTGCGCAGAGTTGTACACCATCTCCCTGAGGGCTCCCAGCTGTAGGACTGGCGGTGATAACCACTCCCCGCCTTAGGGACTCACAGCCTAGACGTCCAAACAGCCCCATGCTGCCTATACCTGCAGCCTCAGAATGGTTTTCATGTGTGGCAAGCATGAGAAAAGACTCATAGACCCCAGTGCCACAGAAAGAACACCAAGGCCAACCCAGCCTTGTTACTCCAGTTCCCACGAGTGGACAATGGCTACTCCTGCCTGTACACCACGCCCCCCCCCAAGTGTACCTGGCCCAGCGTTGACATGAGAACACTGAATCAGTGAATGAATGAAAGAACAAATAAACCAAATGATGAATGAATGAATTAGAGCCAGCACAGAGGTGTTGCAGTTAAAGACAAAGGCTTTGAGGTTACCTTGGTTCTCAGTCTTACCATCTGTTTATTAACAGACCTAGATAAGTCACTTAACCTGACAATACCTTAAGTTCCTCATCTGTAGAAAGAGAATATGAAGGGCCCTATCTCATATGGCTACTAAGCCAATACAACGACACCAGACACAAAGCATTTAGCATAGTGTCTATTTTTTTTGTGCTAGGGATCGAACTCAGGACCTTGTGCTTGCTCAAGGCAGGTATGGTGCCACTGAGCTAAATCCCTGACCTGCATAGTGTCTAACTTTACAAATACGAGTAAGAATGTTTAGTTATGGTATCCCAGTAGAATAAGCCCTGTTATATATGATTACTTTTAATATTTAGGGATGAACAAATAGGGGTTAGGGGATTGAAGACTGCTGGACTAATCAACTTTCTGGTCATGTTCGTCTCTGCCAGCTATCGTTTTTGAGATGCAAGGAAGGTCTCAGAGACCAGATTCAGTGCAAAGAAGGAACAAATACCCTGCTCAGCACATTCCAAATGGAAAGGGCAAGAAAAGGGGCAGAGACCCTCAGCTGAGCTCCACGGACAGAGCTGACCTCTAGTCCCTGAAGGCAGCAGCAAAGAGCTCATCTTGGGATGGGAGTGGGGGGTGGTGGGATGCAGGGCCAGGTGAGCCACCTGCAGCTTTGGTCTGCACAAAGTAGCTGACCCAAGTGCTATGTCCACTGCCCATTTTGCAGGTTACCCCCTGGCTCCATGAGCACTGCCCTAGGCAGCTATGGTGGCCACAGGGACCGACATGGGTAGTGCCAGTACTGGTGCCAGTCCATCATCACCCAGCAGAGGGCACCTGGCTTCTCCCACCTTCTCTTCAGGTGCCTGGTTTGCCTGGGCTCAAGGAGGGGCTACAAGTGGCATAGGAGAGCCGGGGGCTGAGGCTGCATGGGCATCCATCCCACAGGATCTAGTGGTGTCTCCTGGTGCAGAGGGCACCTACTCCACCCAAGGACAGGCGGATTCCCACCTCGCCTGGCCCGCAGTCTTGCTCACCCGCTGCAGAAACTCTGTGCGCTCCTTCTTCTTGTTCCGGCACCGGGCTGCTGCCACTTTGTTCTTTTCCCGGCGCCTTTTCCTTCGCTCCTCTTCCTCATCTAGCTGTAAGGGCACAGAGCCAGCAATTAGAAACCAAGGCAAGGACGGAAGGGGAACAGCTCCCCTTCCTCACCCCCATCTCAGCAGCCAGTGATCACTCACAGCAGTCAGCCAGTTGGCTACAGAGAGGCTCTTCTCTGAGCAGGTGGGCATCCTGGGCAAGAGCCAGAGTCCTATGAGGGCAGGGTTACCTGGTTCTGCCACAGTTCAGGGAGCTGGTAACCTCTACTCCCAGGAGGTGGCAGGGGTGGGGTGGGCTGTTCTCCTGCATGGCCCAAATCCTCTGGGCATAGTTTTCCGGGCCAGCAGTTCCTCGGCACTTCCTTTAAAACTGCCTTGGGCATGGACACAGGTTTCCTGTCCCACCCCCACCCCTTACACCCTTCAAACTGCCTCCACCCTCTCCTCTTACCTTCTGCTGGGATTTGAAGCCCTTGCTGCTTGGAACCTACTTCCTCAGGCTGCCAACAATCTCCTAGCTACTTCACCATTTCCCTGCCTCTGCCTATTCATCCACCGAGAGGCCAGCTGTAAGAGAGCTGGGGGACCTGGGGACACAGCCTCCTGAGTCTCCAGGTGTGCTCCTCCTCCAGGATGTGTAGGGCATTCACCCCACATGAAATAGGCCCAGGAGATGGGGAGGTGGAAATTCGGTGCTCACCCCCAGCCCTGCCTTGGAAGCCAAGTGGCAGCTGTTAAGTGTCTTCTTAGTAATAATAATAGCTGGCATCTGTTGCCTATTTTGGAAAATGTGTTAAACACATACCGTTTAACCCTCACAGTCAAGTCTTACGAAGAAGCCGTTATTACTATTCCACTTTACAGACAGTGAGTCTAAGGCTCAATAGCTCAGTCGATGTCCAAGGTCATACAATAAGGAATGGCGAAGCTAGGATTTGAACTCTGGTTTCTCCAGCTTCAACCTCCTTGCACTTGATCACTGGCCTCCAATGGTCCTAATCCTCAAGGTCACATTAGTGTGGCGCCTCTTGCGGTCCATTACCTACTAGGAAAATCTGGAGAATACATAGGGCCAGCTGGGCTGGGGACAGCTCAGAGTCGGAGGCCACTAGAGAAGCTGTCGGATTGCCCTGGCTTGCCAACTCTCTCACTTCTAGAGTGGGGCAGGGTTTGGGGGTGACTCCGGCAGCAAGGTCTCAGCTCAGAGGGCTGCAGGCCAGGAAAATAAGCAACCTCTCTCCATGCACTCCCAGCACGCTGTAGCAGCTCAGGACAGAGGCCTGGGCTGGAGACCAGCACAAGGCCATTGGCACAGGCCTGGCAGAGCCGCTTCTTCCTTCTTCAGCACCTCTGGGCTCCTCCTGACCCACACTCACCCCCACAGGCTGCCAGAGAGGCGCCTCGTCAACAGCACCGCACCCAAGCACCTCCCAGCCCCTTGGCCTCTTTTGGAATGGAACCAGAAGTGACAGCTCCTCTGGCTGACCCGGATCTGGGAAAATAGAAACCTGGCTGAAACTGATTCCGCCCAACCTCAGCCTCACCCCTCCGAGGGCCCAGGTCACAGTGACGCCAGGCAGGGGGAAGGAACTGAGGAAGTGGCTGGCAGCGCAATCTCCCCTTGGCCAAGAGAGTTGGCCCACAAACTGCCAAGCCAAGGGTGCAGCCAGGCACTGCTGGGCTCACAGGGTCTCAAGCCTCCCTCTGAGCAGCCCCTGAGCCTCTCTGTCCCTTAGACCTGGCTCCACCCCCAGCACTGCACAGGACATAATTCTAGAGTCAAGATTAAGTGGAAGCACTTAGGCAGCAGATGCAGAGACTGGCGCTGGAAGGAAGTTCTCCAAATCAGCTGGCCCAGCTGACACCAGGCTGGTAGGGCTGCTACACCCATCCCCCAGTCCCCTCCTGCCTCACCCTCTACTCCAAATGCCTGGCCCTTCTCCAGCCAGCCAGGCCCTCCTGGCCCCAGCTGAGAGGACCTTCCTGTCCCACTTAGTAAATTCCTATTCCACCTTCAAGAGTAAATGTCACCTCCTCTGGAAGGCTCCTTTGACTCCCAGTTGGATACAGCTGCTTTTCCTACAGCACCATACGAGTACGCATCTGACCACTATCCTCGGCTTATGTAGGCATCCTTTTTTCTGCTCACCTATGCTGGAGGATGGAGACCTAAGCATGGCATTTAGTAGCTCAACAAACCTTACTTTGATGAAGGAATGGAATAGAGAATTCCAGACAAAGATGCTGCAGGCTTGGATCCTTTATCTGAAAGCCACTCCCTGCCTGTGTTTGCATCTGTAAAACCTTTTCCCCAGCAGCTCTCAGGAGCCTTTTCTTATCGGGAAGAGCCTTTGTCTGCAGGAGGCCAGCAAAGCTTGGGGATTAGGTGCTGTCTCCCACAGATGCACACTGGCTGAGGGTAGGCTCTAGATTCAGGGGCACAGGGCCTTGATGGCTGGGGCAGGTCGTAGATCCCAATCAGGCCTGGAAAGAACCTAGGTGTGCCCTTAGGCCCAAAGCCCCAGTTCCATAGTCCTCACAGCTTCTGCACCCATCCCTAGACCTGTCCTGCACCCGTGCTTCACTGGACTGACAAGATGCAGCCCCACAGTCCCTGTGTCACACCCTCCCCATAAAAACTGGGCCATGTCTCCCCAACACTCTTCCACTACTGGTTCAAAGCTGCCCAAGGAAATGTGGAAAACAGCTGTCGAGGCTCAGAAATAAGTCAGGAGTCTGCAGGGACCCCCAGACTGCTCCATCCTACAACAGCTACTGGAGCTACTTAAGCTCCTCTCGCTTATGCCTGTGCCATTGTGCGCCTGACCAGGACCACTTGGGGAACCTCCCTGCCCTCATCCAGACCCTTCCTGCATCCCCAGACTGCAGGCTGCTGCCTCCTTCCTGATGCTTCCTGCATTCTCTAAGACATTTGGTCAGAGTGGGTGAGAGGCAGCAGAGCATCTGCATCACGTACGGTGAAGAGATCTAAAACCAGAGCCCCAAATGGGAGATGATGATGTTTCCTGTAGACACAGCAGGCAGAACCAGAGTGGAGGAGGAGGAGGAGGAGGAGGCTGCTTGACACTCAAGACATTTAAGGAACTGTGAGGTGGGGGCTGGGGCAGAGGGAGCATGTCTTGTCCTATTCCCAAGCACTTCTGGCTCTGTTTTTCCCAAATTCCCAGGAAGGCTCAAAGACACAGTGCTCTGTGTACTTCCATGATGGGTGCCCCTGTGCCATATTTTGCACTAGGACCTTCAGTAAGAGGACCCTTGTGTGGATCAGCCCTCCTCAAGTCTGTCCTCAGGCCCCCACCCTTAGCCACAGGTGACTGAACAAGCCGAGCTATAGTCACCCTCCTGGAATGTGAACTTGGACTGAAAGACACTGAGTGCATGCCTTTGATCCCAGCACTCTGGGGGGTGAGGGGGGCTTGGAGGCAGGAAACTTGCAAATTCAAGCTCAACTTGGGCAACTTAATGAGACCTTGTCTTTAAAAAAATGATACTGGATGGCGAGGGACACACAGGGCCACCAACTTCATCCATGTGCCCAGGATCAGAAAGAGGAGGCTGCAGAAGTACAGAGATGTGCAGAGACCAGACAAAAACACTCTGCCATATGAAGGAGACTGAGACCAAGAGAGGAAGAAACCCAGGCTTGGACCAGGGTGAGTGAGCAAGGTGACCAAGGTATACATCTCAGGGCCCTCCTGACTCTGGGGCTCCAGCAAGTGCAAGGTTGGCTCTGGAGAATGAGCATCTCCTTGTCATGCCTGGAGCCCTCATGTGCTCACCCTGGCCCTGACCTTGGAAGAGGGAGCACCAGGCAGAGACGGAGACACATGCAGAACACAGAGGCACAGATGGGTGCAGAGACGCTCAGGTAGAGAAGCAGAGCCACAGAGAAACATGGAGACATGGACAGAAGCCAGTGGTATAGCCAGATGGAGGGACAGGCAGCTGACAGGCAGAAGGCACACAGAGCGACCACCGTGGTCCTCTTGATTCACGCCGGTGAGGCCTGACTACGCGCCTTGTCCTTGTGGTTTGTGATTGATACTCCTGAATCTATCCTAAAACTTCCCCCTTTGGCCTGCAATGAGTTTGAGGTTTCTGCCACTTGCCACTGAAGGATGCACAGTTTCACTCTTGTGAAGTCAAGGGATGCCAGGTGATAATGGAGGAGCACAGGGTAGTCCCCACTGATCCTAGGGAGGAAATTCTACCCAGCAGCAATTGCTTCTAGAACCTTCCAACCACTGGGAGACTAGCAAAGCCTGGATGTAGAAGGGCCCCTAAATAGCAGCCACAAAAAGAAAATAACCCAGGAGGAGGGAGTGGGAGAATGCAAACCTCAAAATCTCTCTCCTGCTGCTGGTGCCTCCCACTGGCCAAGTTCAACCCAAAGCCAGAGTGCAAGGGATGCTGGGTAATGTGGTCCACTGTGAAAGGACAGCTGGGCACACAGTAGGGTCAACAAGAATGGATCAGATGCATGGATGAAAATATCCCAGGCATGGCTCTATCTGTGACCTATACAAGCCCACTCACAGTACCGCTTCTTGTTAGGGCTGGCAGGCAAGAAACAGTTATGACAATGACCAAGGAACTGGTACAGGCATCAAGGCCATCCCCACTGCCAGCTCATTCCCAGCACTTGCCAGGTCAGCACTGTGGAGTACTCCAGCACATCAAGGCTCAAGGTGGTCTGCAGACTGCCCTCTCAGCCCCACCTGAACACCTGTGAGAAAACAGATCTTGAGCCTGCCCTAGACCTAAGGAAATGTGATCTGCGCGTGGTATGATTCCCAGGTGAAGTTTGCTCTGGAGGCCATTAAGAGCTGCCAGAATTCCCCACAAACACATTCCTCCTGCAGTTATCCCCATTTTGTAAACACCACAACCTCCTGGTTATTCAACCAAAAAGAAACCCAGGAGTAATCTGTACTCTCTCCTTCCACATGGTCCATTTAGTGGCTTGTGAGGATCCCCCCTGCAGAAGATATCTGTGGGCCGTCCACCCACACTTCTCCACC